AGGGAGGGAGGGAGGGAGGGAGGGAGGGAGGAGAGACAGAGACAGAGAGAGACAGAGAGAGATGGAAAAACAGACAGACAGACAGACAGACAGACAGACGGACGGAGATTTTACTGGTAATGGCACTGCCTTTTGAAACTTCCATTTTCAGGGAAGAAAATTAGGAGGTTGAAACTGGTTAATTTGTTCTATGACTTGATCTTCTATTGAAATGCATGCTTATAGGGACAGGAGAGGTGGCTCAGTGGTTAAGAGCACTGACTGCCCTTCCAGAGGACCTGGATTCAGTTCCCAGCATCCACATGACAGACCATAATCATCTGTAACTCTAGCTTCAGATGGTCTGGCTCTCTCTCCTGGCCTCTCTGCAGGCACTGTGCACATATGGTACACATGCATACGAGCAGCAAAACACTCATTCACTTAGGGTAAATAAAATTAAAATAAAAAGACTCAATAAAGAAGTATACATAATGAAAACTAGACATGTTCTAGAGCCAGTTCTGGTGTCTGGGGAATTCTAAAGAGGAATGTGTGAGCAGTTTAATACACGTCCTTCCCGATTTTTCTAGATCTGTGCAATCCTGGTCCTAAGTGTATTGTCTAAGATCAGATTTTCTGGGCTTTTTAGTTGACAATGGAAGATAAACATTAAAGATTAAAGAGACAGAAGTAAAACTTGAAGAGCTAATACCTCCACCTTCTGTCCAACTTCTACCCTCACAGATCTGATTGACCGAGCCTTCAGCAGATTCCGCCACAGAGATGTGGTCCATCTATGCAAGCTGAAGAATGGGCTGAACATATTGGAGTTGTGGCATGGGGTCACATATGCCTTTAAGGACCTGTCCCTGTCCTGCACAGCACAGTTCCTGCAGTACTTCCTGGAGAAGAGGAAGAAGCATGTCACCATTGTTGTGGGTGGGTGTTGGGAGGGAGTGGGGTTCTTTAGCACTCCAGCTGCAGGGCACCAATGCACAGTATACCCTTGATTAGCTCTTTTAAGGCTTATGCTATCAGTTTTTCTAGGGCAGCGGTTCTCAACCTGTGGGGGTGGGGTCAAACCACTTTAAAACATTTTAAATGGTCAAACCATTTAAAACATTCTTTAAAAGAATGTGGACATTATTGTTCTCTTGCCCAAAGGCAACCACTTTGGGGGTGGGGTCAAACGACCCTTTCACAGGGTTGCGTAAGACTATCAGAAAACAGATATTTACATTACAATTCCTAACAGTAGAAAATTAGTTATGAAGTTGCAGTGAAAATAATTTTACAGTTGGAAGTCACCATGACATGAGGAATTATATTGAAGAGTCGCAGCGTTAAGGAAGATTGAGAATTACTTTTTAGAGGGTTTCTGACCTGTCTGTCACAGATTCTGTCTTAGTTACTTTCTTCATTCCTGTGACGAGCAACTTAAGGAAGGAAGGTTTGTTGCTCACAGTTCAGTTTGAGAGTACAGGTCACCATGGTATTGAAGGTATGGTGACAGGAGCTTGGGGCATCTGCTCACACTGTCTACAGGCAGGAAGCAGAGGGCATTGATGCTTGTGTCCAGGTTGCTTTCTTGGTTTTCTTTTGATCAGGACCACAGCTCATAGGGTGGTGCCAAGGTCCTCCCTTTTCATGCCTTTATAGACATGTTCAGAGGTGTGTTTCCATGATGATCCTAATAGCATCAAGTTGACAAGATTAACCATCACAGACCCCTTGGTCAGTCTGCTGGAGGCTGTGGATCCTTCTGGAATGATATTTTTAGGTGTATAGTCTCGTTGGTGTCCTGATTTTATCAGCATATCCAACAACCCTGGGCTAAGTACTCAGCACTGATCTTTCAAGTAGTTGATATTTCAAGTATTTGAAAGCCAATGTTGCTGTATTGAGCACCAATATTGTAAGGTCATTTTATTCCTTATTCCCTTGTTCTAAAGGGAGGTGTCTCCTTTCTAGGAACTTCTGGAGACACAGGAAGCGCTGCCATTGAGAGTGTTCAAGGATCCAAGAATGTGGACATTATTGTTCTCTTGCCCAAAGGCCATTGCTCAAAGATTCAGGAGCTCCAGATGACAACGGTGCTAAAGGAGAATGTCCATGTGTTTGGAGGTAGGTGCAGGGCTGTGTGGTCCAACTCGAATGGCTGTTTCCGTAGGTAGGATTAATCATGTACTGAAGTGCCTTGGCTTAGCTCTGGGCAGGTTCACAGTCTTCCACACTAACTGGAATATGGCTTTAGACCTGCATTTACTGTGTTGAACTGTTAGAGCTGCTTCAAGTGTCTGTCAGTGCTACCTATTTGGAGTTCTCACTTGTCCAATGTCACATGTAGGCAGCTGTGCAGAACCATAACTTGGGCCAAGCATTGCTCTCAGTTCCAGGGTTCTGAAGTGTTGAAGGCACAAAGTGTTTCATGGTTGAGAGAATGTGTCAGTGCATGTTGGCAGTCCATGTCCTTCTTTAGAGGGCAGACAGCTAGACCATGCATGTAGTTAATTGGGCCAAGTATTAAAATGGAAGCTGCCTGGTGCTGCCTACTACCAGTTCCATTATAGCTGGTCGTGTGTTGAATTCTTGAGCTTTGTCATAGGAACGGTAGCATTCTGTGACTGGAGAAAGGAGAAACCCATGCTTTCCATGCTACATCAAATACCCAGTGGTTAGGAGACATAGTGAGGAAGGAAGAGGTGAGTATAAAATGTCTCAGTCCTTAGGAGATTGAAAGCGGAGGACAGGGGAGAATGGGGGCGGGCATGGTTCTATTATCACCTTTCACAGCCTGTTGACCTCACTGAGCTGCAAGGAGAGGCATAAGAATATGAGATTTAGGGATCTTTGCTAAGATTTTACATACTTTGACCGTGCAGCCTGGCGTGTTTTGTTGTTGTTGTTTTAGTTTTTGGGTTTTTGTTTGTTTGTTTTGGTTTTTTAATCACTCAGTTGAAACACAGGAAATGTTCTAGCAATACATACATATAAGGTGCTAGAGAAATGGCTCAGTGGTTAAGAGCACTGGCTAGTCTTCTAGAGGACAGGGTTCGATTCCCACCACCCACATAGCAGCTCACCACTGTCTGTAACTGCAGTTCCAGTGGGATCTGACGTCCCTTTCTGGCCTGCATGGGCACTGTATACACACGGTACACAGACATACATTCAGGCAAAACATCCATATGCATAAGATAAAATAAACTTAAACATAGATAAATACAAATAAAATAAAATTTCTTCTACAAGGCCTGGGTCCTAGTATAATCCTGTGGTGATTTGAATGAGAACGGCCTCCGTAAGCTCATGTTTGAATGCTTGGTCTCCAGTTAGTGGCACTCGTAGGAATGGATTAGGAGACGTGTCTTTGTTGGACGAGGGGTGTGTCACTGGGGGTGGGTTTTGAGATTTCAAAAGTTCAACCAGACCCAATCTCGATCCTCCCCATGCCAGCCTCTGTCTGTGGATTAGATGTAAATTCTCAGCTACTGCTCCAGCACCAGCATGCCTGCTGCCATGCATCCTGCCATGATGATCAAGAACTAACCCTCTGAAAGCGTAAACAAGCCCCTGACTAAATTCTCCCTTTTATAAGTTGCCATGACCACCGTGTCTCTTCACAACAATCGAACAGTAACTAACACAAATCGCAGGGAGGATATTTTTATGTTAACATACTAACACTGATGAGGAGTTCAATCAGTGGAAAGATGTCTGGTCATCAGAGCAGCAGGAATGCCCTTTGTCTACTTTCTCAAAAGCAGAGAAGAAACCCCTCTGCTCTTCTTTGGCAAGCACATGTGCATTCCAGTGTAAAGTCTGTGCCTTGTTACCCATATCTGGCTGCATTTTCCTTTGGTCATTGTTAGACTTGAATGAACAATGTTCAGGCTCCTGAGGGCCCCAGCTGTTTCTTATGTGACAACCTTGCTAGTTATGAGGTCTGGGTCCTAGCATCAAAATTAAGATTTTTTTTTTGTACTCCAGTCCTCCTCTCTTGCCTTGTACAAGATGTACCAGAGGACATCTTCATCTGGAGGCTGGAGAACATCACTCACCTATGAAATAGTGGCAGCTTTGTGGTCATTCATGAGTCTAGCATGTCATCATTATCACTAGAGCTAAGGTGCTTCTGTTCTGTAAATGGTCTGTGCATCAAGGAAATAGTTCAGTTTGTTTATAAGTAGTACTGCTCACATTCTTTTTCCTTTTAGAGCTTCCAGTGTGACTGTTAAGAGGATGTGTGTATATTCAGGGGCTAACAGGAAAGATGTGTCTTCTCTCTGTGAGCTCAAGGAGTAGGGGTGGACCACATGGATGCGGAGTTTAAACCTTATTAATTCATCATCATCATTATTGTATGTGTGGTGAGGAGAGGGAAGCCCATGACACAGTGATCACACAGACATCAGAGGACAACTTTGTGGGGGTCATTTCTTTCCTCCTACCTTGATATGGTCACCAGAGATCAAACTCAGGTTGCCAGGCTAATGTGGTATATGCCAGGCTTATGCCATTGTATGTTGGAAGTGTTTTTTTTTAAATTTTGTTTGTTGTTTGTTTAGTTTACAATGGGTTAAGCTAAGAGATTGTCTTGAATCTCAGAAGAGATGTTGGACTTTGGATTTTTCAATAACCTTGAGACTGATAGATCGTAGGGGCTTTTGAAGTTGAATTAAATGCATTTTGCATTATGATATGGCCACATGCCCATGGGAGTCTGGGAGTAGAATGTAGTGGTTTAAATGAGAATGGCTCCCTAGGTCTTATATATCTGACTGCTTGGTCCCCAACTGATGGAACTGCTTAGGAAGGATTAGATGTGGCCTTGATAAAGTTGTGCCACTGGAGTGGGCTCTGAGGTTTCAGAAGCCTATAGCCATTCCCTGTTAGCTGTCTGTGCCTTGTGCTTTTGGATAAGAATATAAGTTCTCAGCTACTGCTCCAGAACCATGACTGCCCACCTGTTCCCATGTTCATAGCTCTAATGGTCTTAGACTCTAATCCTCTGAAATTGTAAGCCCCCAAATCTCTTTTTTCTACAAGTTGCTTCTGTCAAAGTGTCTTTAATAGCAATAGAAAAGTGTCTTGCCCAGCCACCGGGTTTATAAAAGTAGTAATTTCCATGTCCATTGTGTATTTCTAAGCATCAAGTACTTAGTAGACTCTAGATGCTTGTTGATTATAGTTTTTTAAAAACTAGAATTAACAGAAAATCCAACTGAGTCTACTGGAAAGAAGAGTTTCCAGTTTCTATCACTGGGATGTCCATGGGTGGAGGTGGCTGTCACTTGGTTGGTTCTGAGACTCAACATTACGATCAGGAACCCAAGTGCTTCTCAGTCTGCCCTCCCCAATTCTAGGTTCCTTCCTCTTGAGGTCACAGTATGAAGACTTGAGGTAATCAAGTTTCTCTTTTCCTATGGCTCTTCCTTAAAAGCAGTGGCCATTTCTTTAGCACCCCAGCACCCATCCTTCTGAGTCTCAGTGGCCTGAATTTCTCACATGTCCAACTTGGACTGAACTCTGACTCCTTGGGCTTGCCAGGCACAGATTGACTTGACCTTGGCAAAGGAATGGGGCAAGGTCAAAGGAATGGGGCCACTGCTACTTGATCAGGTTGACTGGGGTCACAGCTGGTCCCCCATCTGTATTACTGCACTATAGTGATGAGAAGAGAACACTTTACACCCCAATGGCTATCCTGGTTCTTCCCCCCTCAACCACGTAATCTTTACCCCCTCTACTTGAGGTATGGATCCAATTGCAGAATTAGATACAGGTATCAGGTAAGGGTCAATACTGGTACAATTACTGAGGCAGCTAGACTGGGGTGCTGATATGTTAAACTGGTGGATAAATTACCAATAATTCACTCCATAAATTAAACCAATGTACACACCTAACTTCAGGGAGAACTTCTGCAGAAGCAAACTTACCTACCACATAGGAACAGGGACCAGGACACCTATACTTCACCCACGGGGAGAAGTGACCATTTCCACCCAGCTCCAGTAGGGTTCTGTTGTATAAACAGTCCCTCCTTCTTTCCAGAAGGGTGAAAGACATACTCTTTGCAGAACAGTGAAGGCTTGGAATACAGGGATAATTCTTTTCCCAGTATCCCAGAAAGTTGACATTTTATATCTGATTTTATAGACTGAAAGACCATTAGAAATGGTTCTGACTACATTTTCTTTTCTCCCAAGTGAGGACAAATACTTAGGGTCAGAAGAACAAGAGACCTGGATTCAGTTCCTAAGGAGCTTATACAGAGCCTGGGAAGCCAGGCTAACCCATGTGAAAGTGAAGGAAGCAAAGGCTAATGGGAGAGGATAGGCAGAACCTGGGAGGGCCCCCAACAAAGGCGGGAGTGAGTGCCAGGGGCTTCTACTGCTGACAGATGCCAGCTTCTCTCCCCTGGCAGTGGAAGGAAACAGTGATGAGCTTGATGAACCCATCAAGGCCGTGTTTGCTGATGTGGCCTTTGTCCAGAGGCACAACCTGATGAGCTTGAACTCCATCAACTGGTCTCGGGTCCTGGTGCAGATGGCACACTACTTCTTCGCTTATTTCCAGTGTACACCATCCTTGGACATGCACCCCCTACCCACAGTGGAGGTGGTAGTGCCGACAGGGGCTGGGGGTAATCTTGCAGGTAAGGAGACCCTGGGATGCAAATGGACTTTCCAGAAGCACCCAGTCTTTCAAGTTGTATTTTGCTGACAAACATGGAGAGAAAGAAGTTGTGGTTTGTTCTACAGAGGACAACACACACACACACACACACACACACACACACACACACACACACACATGGGATGCCTTCTAACTTGCAGGGGCTGAAGGTGGAACATTCCAGGGTCCTGAAGCAGAAAGAGATTGAGAGCTCAATCCTGGGAAGTTTCTGGAGCCTCGCCTGTGCTTGCACACCACTAATAGACAAAACTCAAGGCTCAGCCACCAAGCACAGCTCAGCATCCTTTCCTAAAATTTGCACTTGACTCCCAGCTCCACCCACTGCCTGCTAAGGGATGCCCACTGTGTGCCAGGGCACAGTGTTCTCACTACCCAGGGACCATGTGAGACAGAAAGGGCTCTGGCATCAGAAGTTCGGCTTTGGCTCTGCCCTTTACTAGCTGAATGGTTAAGAGTTCCTCAGACTCAAGTCCTCAGCTGATCACATGCTCAGAGCTGCCTGTGAGGAACAAGTCTGACTGAAGGTGCACATGAGCTTTGTACTTTGCACAAGTGCTGTCCTCCCACCAAATACTAATGAACATTCTCAACCATTAACTATGCACCAGGTGATGTTGTTCTAAGTAAGTGCTCTTTCTGTGATTTCATTGGACTAGAACAACTCCACTGTCTCCTGTGTATAGACGATTAGTTATAAGACCCCTGAAGATACCAAAATCTGCAGAGATTCAAGTCCCATATGTGAAATGACATGGTGTCTGCATATAACCTATGTATATATACTGGTGTACTTTAAATCACCTCTAGATGATGCCAAATAAATAACATAACAAGCAAATGTTATCTAAATGGCCATTGTGTTTTAGGAAATAATGGTAAGAAAGAGTCACAATGTGTTTAATACAGATGTAATTTTTTTCCTTGAGAAGGTTTCACTATGTAATGTAGGCTGCCCTAAGCCCCTTAGGGTAGCCTTAAAAGTCTCCATCCTCCTACCTCAGCTTCCCAAATGCTGGAAACATAGGGTATATCACCATACCCTGATTCGGATAGTTTTGATTTGTGGTCAGTTGACTCTGTAGATTCAGAAGAAGACTCTGTAGATGTATCCAGGGTCCACCTGTTCTATTCTTACTGTTGTAGAGTGAGGAACTAGACAAAGACAAGCTTGCTTGCTTCTGTTTACACACTGGTTGGTAGTGGAGCCAAGCTGACAGCCCAGGCAGGCTTGAGTCTACATCTTTTCCATCTCTCAAGGAGGCAACGGTGTCAGGGTTTCTGGTAGCTCTGCCCCTGCCATTGCTTCTCAAGGCGCCAGGGGCAGAGTGGGTAAGATGGCAAAAGCGTCCAAGTTAGGAGACTCCTTGACTTCTTACAGGAAGATAGAGGTGATAGTATGCTGGCAGCTAGGCAAGGAAGGCTACTGTCCTCACTACTCAGAAGGTGACACTCAGTGTGTTTTCCTTTCATGTCACCTTCCAGCTAGCAATGCCACCTATAGCTATGCCCTTCATAGCACCTGGCACAAATAAATACATGGGCAAGACCTGTGGAGAACATTCTCATCTGGGATTTCTCCTGAAGGACCTGTTTGACCTTAAGTCTTTGGGCCCTCCTGAGCTTCTGTTTTTCCTCATCACTGAAGAACATTGTAATGCTTCCCTGAGGATCAAGTGACATAAGAGTGTGAATGGGCTTTCCAAAATCAAGTGTGATATTGATAAAACAATCTCCTCCCTGAAAAAAAGTAGGGGCCTAAAGAGGGAATTTAGTAGGTAAGGCGTTTGCCGCACCAATCTGAGGGCCTGCGTTTGGATCCTTAGAACCCACATAAAACTAGATGTGGTACTGCCTATCTGTAATCTGTACTCTCAGTGTTCCAACAGCAAGATGACAGAGACAGGAGAAGCCCCAGAAGCTTGTGGACCACTAGCCTTGCATATCAGCAGTGAACAGCAGACATCCTTCCTAAAACAAGCTGGAAGGCAAAGCCCTAGACCCTGCTCTTTGATAGGATTTGGGCAAGACATTTCAGCCCTTAGCACCTTCAAGGTGCTAGGGTTGACTCACAAAACTTTATGTGTATGGTAGCCCCTGGTAGGTGGCTGAAACACAGGACAGTGACAGTGACAGTGACTGTCCAGCTTCTCTTCCTCTTCTCTCCTCCTATGCCCTCCTCCCATCTCTCATTTTCACACAGCAAAAAGTTTGTCTTTTTTTTAATTAAACTCAATTTTAAAATATTCTTTGCCTTTATCCAAAAATCTATTTGTCTTCCTGTCTTGTACCAAGCTGGGTGCATTGCTCAGAAGATGGGCCTGCCAATCTGTCTGGCTGTGGCAGTGAACCGCAATGACATCATTCACAGGACTGTCCAGAAGGGAGACTTCTCTGTGTGTGAGGCTGTCAGAACAACCCTGGCATCTGCTATGGACATTCAGGTGGGCCTCCGGGGAGAAGAATAGATCTGGCCAATTGTTGGAGGGGCAGGACTGGATAAGGCTCGGAATGAGGGTCCCTAGGATTTCTGTCTCTCCATTCAGATGCCCTACAACATGGAGAGGATCTTCTGGCTGCTCTCTGGCTCTGACAGCCAGACAACCAGGGCCCTCATGGAACAGTTTGAAAGAACCCAAAGTCTGCACCTACCCAAGGACCTACAAAGCAAGGTTGGTCATTGGATACACCCTAAGGGGGTGGAGGTGGAGGTGAAGGGTCTCTGCAATCTCCATAGCTAGTGGAGTGACCTCTGAGAGGTAAGAAGGCAGTTTTGTTCAACAGGACTCGGTAGGTAGTGTTGGTTAAGACTTCTAGAGTCTGACCTCTAGTGATTTACTTTAGGCGTATTTAAGCACAGCCCAATGTGGTGAACATTATTCTTGTGATGATTAACTCAGTCCCATGTGTACAACAAAGCATACATCAATCTCCTTGAGGAACAAAGTACATACAGATCAGATCTAATTACATCAAAACTCATCGTAAAGTCCTTAAAGATTGGTTCTTTGGGTTGTATGCTAAGGGTTTGGGGGAGGATCCAGTGCTAGAAAAGTCTCTTCCACACAGACCAAAGGTCACCAGACTAGTAACCAAGTCTACAGAGCTACGTTCAGCCTTCTAGTTAGATGGCAGTTGTTGCATGAAACAACACTGTGTGCTTACATTCCAGTTCGCCTAGTGCTTACCTGTGAGCACAGAGGACTTCTTTCTGTGCCTCTACGGCATCCCGTGGAGGAAAGGAAGGATACAGCCACAGGACAGACTTGGGGTTTGGAAACATGAGAAAGGAAAGGGGACACCTGGTTTTTGAGCATCGTCTGTGAGCTAGGTGCTTTCACGGTTAACACTGACTGAATGACAAGTCAGTTGTGAAATGCTAAGCTGGTTTTATAAATGCAGTGCCTTCATTTCCTCATCTGTAGAGGGAGGGTGATAAGAACCCCTGTCTCATAAGGTTGCTGTGAACTTTGAATCAAAAGATCAATGTAGGCACTTTACATACTGCTGGAAATGTACGGTTCCATACAAGTACTGTTTCTATGTTTATTTATTATTGTTGTAAATTTCCAATAAGAACAACATCTGTACAAGGACAAGGCCATTCTGCCTTTCCAGTATAGACAGAAACTGTAGCTCCTCCTTTGTCCTTGTCTCTGTCTCTCTCTTAGAGAAGGAGAAACTTTATTTAGTTAATAAATAAGTTTGATTTGTTTTAGGAAACTAGTTAGAATGCATTGCTTTTATTTGAATGCAGCCTGGTGACTATTACCTTGGAACCCAGGGGTGAATCTGGCCAGAGTCCATCTTCCTAGCCAGTATTTAATTAAAGCTTGCTTCAAAGGGCCAGGGCGGGGTGGTGGAGAAATGACTCAGCGGTTAAGAGCGCTGGCTGCTCTTTCAAAGGTCCTGAGTTCAATTCCCATCAACCACATGGTGTCTAACCACAATCTGTAACGGGATCTGATGCCCTCATCTGGCATGGAGGCATACATGCAGTTAGAGCACTCAGACGGCTGGCTGGATGGATGGATGGATGGATGGATGGATGGATGGGTGGATGGATGGATGGATAGAGTGACTGAGTGAGTGAGTGAAGCCTGATGATGCACAAAGTTCTAGAATGTGCTCCTTCTTGATTTCATAGTCTGATTTTATCTCAGTGTCTTCCACTTGAAGAGAATCCTTATTTACCACCTTGGCCTACCCAATTCCTTTAACTTAGTCCCTTATATGACATAATTGGCTCTGGTTAGTGTCGCTCCTGAGGGCTTCTTCTTAAAACTAGAGACAGTTATCTGGGCTGAGCTATTTCCTTGAAGACCAAAATGGGACTTCTCTCTTTTAGAATCTATACTGCTTTAAAAATAAAAAGATTTTCATTATTTTTATTTAATGTGTATAAGTGTTTGCCTGTTTATGTATGTGTACCACATGCATGCAGTGCCTGTGATGTCCAGGAGAGGGCATCAGATCCCCCTGGAAATGGGAGTTACACATGGTTACCACTGTGTGGGTGCTGAGAACCAAACCTGGGTCCTCTACAAGAGCTCTGAATAGCTGAGCCATCTCTTCAGCCTTCTGCTGCCTTTGACAAAGCCAAACATTAGTTTGCTTGGCCCATAGTTTGTGCAAAAATCAATATTTCTTCTCCTTATGTAAATAAGATCCTCCACTAAAACTGGACAGCAAAAAAAAAAAAAAAAAAAACCCAAAACTGGACACCATACCTCCCCTGTTTCTTCATTTCCTCCCTCACTCTATGATAAGGGTACTGTATGTGCTGGATGAGCATTCATTAATTCGTCCATCAATTCATTCATTCATTCATTCATTCATCCCTCCATTTGTATTATCTATCTGCTGTGGTTCAAGAACTATGTTAGGTGCTGGAAATACAAAGAGAAAATACAGCTATCACACTGAGTGATGCATCAAGGTGGTAGAGCACATGCTTAGTATGCATTTGGCCTGCATTCAATCCTCAGAACTGGGAAAAGGAGGAATAAGGGGTGGGAGGGGGAGGAAGAGGAGGAGGAAGGAGAGGAAGAAGAGGAGGGGAAAAAGTGTTGGTTACTATCTCTGACCCTAACCAGGGAGTAGCTGTATAAACAATCTATGAATCATGTGGACTCTGATGCCATTAAGTACATGCAGAGTGTTTGCTATGTTGTAAGCATGCAGAACATCTTCAGAGAGTGATCTAGCATACCAACCACACTCAGGGAGCATTGAGAAGGGAGTCTTCCTCTGTCTGTGAGTACTGGGTTTCCCAGGGGAGGTGCTCCTAAGCAGGCTAGGAACTGACAAGGTAGTTTTCATGGCATAAATGTTTGGACACCCATGACGTGTATCAGGCTGTAGAACAAGACTGTGTGCTAATTCGCTTCATCTGCTAAATGCGTCAAGATGTACCCAAAACTTCTACAAATCCCTCTGTTTAGTAGGCTCAAAGCTGTAATTGGCTCAAAATTCATAAACTGATTTTACTACTAGTTCCTGGTGTGGATGTGGATGTGTATATAGCAGGGTTCTAGTCCTCCTTCTGTGATTCACCAATCCCAACATCCACCCCTGTCTCATGACCTTTCAGCTTTCAGAGGCAGTGACATCTAAGTCGGTATCTGATGAGACCATCACCCAGACCATGGCCCGCTGCTGGGAGGAGAACCAGTATCTACTATGCCCCCACTCGGCCACAGCGGTGAACTACCATTACCAGCAGACTGACAGTGGGCAGCCCAGGTACCAGCAGTGCAATCTGGGGCACGGTGGGGGGGGGGCATGCCTCTTCTTCAAGCAGGGCATGTAAGACTAAGGATAGTGACATCAGTGGGCATGGTGGGTTCTGTGCCCAAGAACTAAAGAGATGTGAACTGTATCCCAGATCATGAGGAGGAGGATGGCTGAACTGGGTTTTGATTGGAGTACTTTGCAAGCTTATTATAAAAATTAGTTCAAGGTATTAATCATGTCTTTATCTCTCTCTGCTCTCTGTTCTACCCTGCCCTTAACCTTTCTCCTGGTCCTCCTTCCTCTCTCTTCTTCTTTCCCATCCTTATGCCTGTTCTCTTCTGTCTTGCACTATCCCCAGTAGCATCCCTCGGTGCTGCCTGGCTCCTGCCTCGGCAGTCAAATTCCCAGAAGCAGTCCAGGCGGCTGGGCTGACTCCTGAGACTTCCACAGAGATCCTGGCACTGGAGCACAAGGAGACACGCTGTATCCCAATGCGGAGAGGAGACGACTGGACACAGATGCTGAGGGACACAATTGAGGGCCTGTCCCAGCGGTGGAAAAGTTGTGTAGCGAACCCTTCAGAATAGCCCAGGTTGGAATGAGTTTGAAGACTCTTGTCCTAGGGATGGCTAGGGCAAGATGGCTCAGTAGTTAAGAACTCTTGCTGCTCTTCCAGGGGACCCAAGTTTAGTTCCCAGTGCCCATGTCAGATGGCTCACAACCATCTATAACTTCAGCTGTAGGTTTTTGACACTTCTGACCTCTGTAGGCAATGCATTCATACGCAGATACACATACCTATATGCAATTAAAAATAATAAAAAATAAGTCTTTTTTTAAAGTTTCTTATTCCAGCTAGATATGGTAGCACATGCCTTTAATTCCAGCATTCAGGAGGAAGAGACAGGCAGGTCTCTGTGAGTTCTAGGCCAGGCTGGTCTATATAGAAAGTTCCAGGACAGCCAGATCTACATGGTAGATTTCTGACTTTAAAAAGCATGTGTATTGTTGTCCCAAGGAGATAATGTCCCTGCTTCTGAGAAAAGCTACTGCAGTCCTTTCCTGGACATCTTCCCCTTTATTCTGTGAGGGGTGGAGTGAATTGCTGTAGAAGATGGCTAATGTTGAACGGTTCACCAATATCACTGCCTCATATGCAAGTCTCAGGGACTTCACATGGAGAGGCTTTTGGACATGGATCAACTTCAGCTCGAAGGGGTCAGGACCCCAAATCTGTGACACGAGACTGCTCTCCTACATACTGGCCTGGGTCTTAGGATCTCTGGTTCTCTATTCAACCACACAAACCAAATTCAGAGTCTTGGTCCCCCTTGATAGTTGCTTTCAACCTACTGAAACATTGGGAAATGCTTCTCTGTAAGTTGGATGGGGGCTCAGAACAGCTCTTGGGCAGCTCAGAGCTGTGGGTTGAATGCAGATCCACTGGCCTCTGAGAGGTGATGCTGAGGCATGGACCACATCCATCTGCTGCACCAGGATGGCTCAGCAGAGCAGGCAAGGGAGCAAGGAAGCCTGTACTGGTGGTGTGGATAGAAGTTGATCACTAAATTGAAGGTTGTGTGGGACAGAAAGTCATGGTGGCACCAGTGTACCAACCAAGCCAGCTAGCTTTTCAATTATTAATGTTACTGGGTTCATCTCTTATGGGGAGCAGGAGAGATTTCAGCCAAATGCAGGCCAACAAATAGCAGTAGCAATCCCCATGCCTTGGAGAGTAAACTTCTCTCTAGAAAGACAGAGATAGAAGTGAAGAGTTGACACCAGAGGATGCTGCTGCTCTGCCCTATGGCTAATCTGACCTCATCTACTTGGGCTTCAGGAGCTTCCTCACTCAAAGGTCTGAGGATGCTGACCACCCAGGACCAGTCTGATTGATGTATCCCATCAGAACAGGCCAGATACACATCTCTCTCTAGTCCCGAGGGAGAGACTGGAGAGAAACTACTACTAGAAAAATGGCCACTAAGAACCAGCATTCGTTAGGGAAGAGTAGGGAAGCTGGACCTGTTAGGGGTGGTAGGGCTATGCTAAAGAAATGATAGTGACCCCTTACAGGCAACAGCACATCATGGTTTCTGGAATACTATCATCCACAGTATTAGACACATCCAACCACTAGGGGCCAATTACCTATTGAGTGTGACAGACTCAGAAGCCACCATACTGCTTGAGACCTATGAATATGTTTTAATATCATTTTGCATTTGTGCATATGTTGTTGGAGACAGGGTCTGTTGTTCACTGCTGCCTAGGGCAGACTAGCCAGCCTGAAGACTTCCTGGGACACCTTGTCTCTTACTTTCATCTTGCTACCGGAGTTCTGGGATTACACACTGCCTCATCTGATCTTTACATGGGATCAGGAGATGTACACTTAGGTTCTTAGGTTTGCAAAGCAAGTACTTTACCCACCGAGCTGCCTCCCCAGCCCTTTAACTTTTTTAAAGCAAAACAAAACAACAACAACAACAACACACTCCTGACGTCATTCATTCTTCAGTGGCAGGGTCCTGAGAGAGAGGACCAGGAGATTAGAAAATAAAGAAGGTAATAAAGTTTGTAATAAGGATGTCTTGCACAAGCTATGTCTTATGCTAAGCAGTCTTGTTAAAAAGTACAGCATTCTATATATTATTTCCAGAGGAGAAATGGGACAGAACCAAAAGAAACTATAATACAGTGGGACAAAGTCAGCATGAGGCTTATCAAGCAATGTTAGGCAAAGGGGACACAAGGTATCTCACGAGCAGTACAGACTGAGCACACAGCAGACTCGGGACTGATAACTCCCAGTGTTTTCAGGGGGAAGGCAAGTTCTCAGGAACGGAAGCTGACTCCTTTGAGGCCCACGTCTCAGCCTCAGATTGGTCTTGCCAAGTCAGCTCCTGAGCAAGGACGCAAAACTGGATTCCCTTTCTCTTTTCATCAGGGCCTCAGAGAAAGCTTTGGATCAGTCTGGCCCTCATCACAGTTCATCTTGGCAGTCTTCATAATACTTTTGTAGAGCAAGAACCCTATGGGGGCCAGTGAGGTGGTTCAGCAGGCAAAGCCCTTGCTGTGAATGTGTAGTCACCTGAGTTTGGTACCCAGAACCCACATAAAGGCGGAAGGAGAGAATCTACTTGCATCATATACATGCAGTAATAATACATACAAGTAAGCAAATTGTAAAAGGCCATAGTGTCTTCCTGATAGCACCTACAATGTGTCCGTTGCTGCTTTACAGAAATTAATTTTGGGGATCCTGATGACAGTGTGGCAAGTCCATTTTACAAAGGAGCCAACTGGGGTTCTGGGAGGTGATGGCTTTGAGTTCTGTGTGAACTTCATCGAAGCTTCTCTGGAGAGCTCGTGATAGTCCTGTGGGGTTCCCTTGGGGTTCCCTTGGGTTTCCAGCCGCCTCCTATTCTCCACTCCTCTTTGCCTCCCCCTAACCCCCACATTCTTTGTCCCTGGTCCCCTCACCTGTCTTTGCATTGTGTGAGAACCTGGCTGTGCTTTCCCAGAAGTCCCACCTCCTAATAGTGCCACTCTTCATGGGCTAAGCATTCAGACACATGAGTCCATGGAGGCCAGACCTATTCAAACCACCAAAGATTCCACCCCCAGATCAGGAAGAGATTAAACATTAAAGTCACAGGGTCTATGATGTACTATTCTGCTATACACAGACACAGACACACACACACACACACACACACCACTACTTAACAAGAAACGGCAGGAGTCTGTTTCAGATTAGATTAGGAGCAGGTTGCAATCTTTCTTAAGTCACATGTCTGTTGGTAGCAGGAGCACAGAGCAACCATTTTGTCTGTGTGGGCCCCAGTTTCCTCTTCTGATGACCAGAATATTTTTGTTCAGGTTTGCTTTGAGGATTCTACAAAGTAACAGATGTTCTGAGCGCCAACTAAACCCTCAATGACATACAAACCCTTCTTCCTACTAACACAAAGATAGCCTCCAACAACCCAGCACTTATATCTTGTGATTTTTACTGTTTTGTATGTGTGTGTATGTACGTGTGTGCCTGTGTTTGTGTGTGTCTATGTATATAAGTGAGTGCAAGCCATGATGGACACATGGGGATCAAGGGACAACTTGTAGGAGTTGGTTTTCTCCCTCCACCACGTGACTCCAGTGCATTGACACAAGCTAGAGTCATCAGAGAGGAAGGAGCCTCAGTTGAGGAAATGCCTCTGTGAGGTTCAGCTATAAGATATCTTCTCAATTAGCAATCAATAGGGCAGGATCAAGCTCATGGTGGGTGGTGCTATCCCTTGGCTGGTGGTCCTGAGTTCTATAAGAAAGCAGGCTGAGCAAGCCATGGGAAGCAAGCCAGTGAGCAGCACCCCTCCATGGCTTCTGCATCAGCTCTGCCTCCAGGATCCTGCCCTGTTTGAGTTCCTGTCATGTCTTCCTTCAGTGATGGACTACAATGTGGAAATACAAGCTCAATAAACCCTTTCCTCCCCATCTTGCTTTTTGGTCATGGTGTTTTGTTGCAATAGAAACCCTAACTAAGCAATCCAGGGAGTGTGTGGTGGTTTGAATGAGAATGGCCCCCATAAACTCACAGATTTGAATACTTGGACATCAGGGAATGGCTCTATTTGAAAGAATTAGGAGGTGTAACTTTCTTAAAAGAAATAGGTCATGGGGGAGGTAGGCTTTGAGGTTTCAAGGGCCCAAGCCAGGCCCAGTGGCTGGTGGCTGGTTGGCTCTCTCTCTCTCTCTCTCTCTCTCTCTCTCTTTTTCTCCCTCCCTCCCTCTCTTCCTCCCTCTTCCATCCCCCTCCCTCCCTCTCTCCTCTTGCTGCCTGTGAACCTGGATGTAGAACTCTCAGCTGCCTCTGCAGCACTATGTTGGCCTGCATGCCACCACATGCCCTGCCATGATGACAGTGGACTAAATCTCTGAGACTCTAAGCCAGCCTCAGTTAATGCTTTCCAAGTTCACGCCGTCTTTCCACAGCATGGAATAAGGTAACTGGGCTTGGTAGCAAGTGCTTTTACCCACTGAGCTGTCGCAGCAGCCCAGGAACCTCATTTTAGAGATGAATAAATGAAGCTTGGGAGGGGATGTGAGGAGGTCCTTTGGTCCGACGACCTCCAGTCTCCTTCACATCAGGGCGTGTGGTGGTCTGAGGATCAGAGGAGGAGAATCTGGCGCCTTAGGGTGGGAGATGACTCATCATTAGGGATGGACAGCTGCCCTGGGAAGGGTCACGGAGCAGAGTCCTTTGTCCTGGCTCAGGCTCCGAGTGGAGCTGGTCTCATGGTGGGGGTGTCTGGAGTGGGTGTGTGCTCAGTGAAACGGAAGCTGCTATTAGAAGAGGTGACCATGGTTCTGTGAGGTTTTCAGCTACAGGCAGGCGGGTCTCCACCAGAAAGGCGAACTGTTGGTTTAAGGAAGCGGTGAGTGAGGCCTTGGGAACCTTCGTTGAATTTTCCCAGCTAAAGTAAATATGGAACGAGCAACCCAGGGAGGGTAGCACAACTTACCTCCTGGAAAGAGGACAGAGCCAACTCCCATGCCTAGAGATAGTTGCTCCTACCCAAGAAGTGTCTTCCTTCTTTCCAGATCTGTCTTTTGCACTCTGCCCATTGGTTCTTCACTCTATAGCCTGTATTCTCACAGGTGCCCACGGCTCAGCCAACGCTCAGAGATGGAGGCACTTCCTACTACACACTAGGCAGTGCTGGGTAGCTAGGGAGAAGCAGGAAAAGATTTGGCTGGAGGTGTGTGTATGTGTGTGCGTGACTGTGCACGTGTGTGTATGAGTGTGTGTGTGTTTGGACAGGATCTCATGTAGCT